ATCTACTATAGAAGAAAGAGTAGGGGGACTTCTTTATCAAACACTGTCTGTGTTACTACTACTACTACCCTACTGTTACTTCTGTAAACATGAAAGCAGGTCTGACAGTCAAAATCTCATTTTACAATGATTTTAAATTTGCTAATTTTAAAACTTGTTAAGTTTGTCTCATCAGATCTGTAAATAGTTTTCAAGGATTTTTAATTTTCTAGTGTACTTGGATATAACTGACTGAATTTTGATGCTTAATGCATATCACAAAAGATCTTACTGCTTGAAGGAAATGGCAATGGAATTTAGTCTCCTCCCTTTAATTTGCTGGTCTTAAGAAGTTTCAGCATATGGGGTGAATGGTATCTTGTGTGACATATGAGGTGTAATGGTACTTGTAAATCCTAGCTGAGCAAGAGTCACTATGCAGACTTGGGATTTTTTTTTAACATTATGAGGAGTTCTAGGGTCAGGGCTGTGAGTCTCAGCAGTGTGCTTAAAGTAACACTCTTCAGTATTTTAACATTCTGGTTCATTTTTATCTCATATTTCTAACTGGTGGTTGTTTAAATGTCGTTCTGGTTTTTGCATTTGGAATATCACAGGCATTTGAAATGCCTGCTGGAGGGGTCAGTGCCAAGCCTCATGGCATAGGAGAATGTGACAACATCTGTCTCCTTTGTAGCTATTAAACACTCATATCTGGCATCTGGTGATTGTCCGTGAGAAGGACAAAGAGGTAAATGCTTGCAGTCTATAGCCATAGATTCCATTTTTAGAGATGAGTGAACAAATGTGATTACAGCATCCTTGTGAAAATTGTTAGAAAAATGTATTTAGCTTTCTCTTTCACAGGATCCTTGTCAACCATGTACACTTTCCCAAGGTATTTTGAAATGTCTGTTACTAGCTCTGTATTAAGTGCCTTAAATTGTTTAAACTCAGTCAAAAGATAATCTTACACTGGTGTTGGCTGTAGTTGAACAGAAATTATTCTTAATTAGGTTGATACAGGCTCTGCATGAGGGAGGGGACAGAGAAGAGCAGCTTAATACTTAGATTGACCAGAAAAATGATGATCTGTAGTAGAAAAAAGTGACTTTCAAACTGTTCACTTGCACTGCTGACTGGGGATTTCCTTTGCAGAGTGATGGCTGACGAGCTGACCAATACCAGGGCAATTCTTCAGCGCCAAACCAGGGATGCACAAAGTGCAATCCAGGACTTGCTGAACGAACGTGAACAGTTCCGTCAAGAGATGATAGATACACACAAGTATGATTTTTTTTAATGCAGACTATCTCTGTGCAAACTTAATTTTTCTCAGTTTATTTTAGGCTAGAGGAGAATCAAATAACTTTCCCCTCCTCCAGTGATATTCAACAAAAATCAATTATGCTGATGTATAATATAGTAACTTTTCAGTCTTAGAGCTGAAACAGCAAAAACAATAGAATACTTCGTTAATTCCCCTAGAGGTCTGAGGTCTTAAGGGTAATAAACTGTGGAACTGATATCCTTCACATCCTCAAGCTTTCTCTCTTTAATCACTTACTGTCTTGACTTCACGTCTTCTCTGTTTCCTTCCAAAATATCAGAGATAATCTTCTTCCTACATAGACTTTACAGTGCTTTTTCTGCCAGATGTCATAGAAGTGTTCCCAATATTAATGTCCTGTGTTGGTGAGGCCTTTCCTTGGAGAATAGCCCAGTTGTCTCCTTGTTCATAAGCACTTTTTTTGTCCATTTCTTTGGTTTAAGATTTAGCTTATGCACTAAGCCTTGGGAAGAGATGATTCCTTTGAAGTGTGTTGGGTGCTGATTATACAGTATAGAATACAAACCCCACTAACAGGGCTTCCTTCCTTTCTGCTCAGGCTGCTGGAGGAGCTCATGGTCTCTCTTCAGTGGGGGAGACAACAGACATACTATCCTAGTGCCCAGCCTTACACTACAACAGAGCTAGCAGCTGTGAACTGTAAGCTAGCCAAAGCTGTAAGCTCACATCTTCTAGGAAATGTTGGCACTAACAGTCCAAAAAAGACTTCAACAACTGTGGAGTTTTGCAATACCCCTGCTGAGAAAATGGCTGAAATGGTAAGTACTCTTGATACATGTTAATCTTTATATTAAGGTTCTAGGTAAACAGATACTTCATTTTCAACGTAGAAAAAATATGAAAAATGGCTTTTAAGCAGAAATCCTTCCTAGCTCTTAGAGAAGGAAAAAGCCAATTAAATTGAATAAAAATATTTTCAGTGTCAATTTTTCCCTCCTTAGATGCTACGTGTACTGGATCCAGCTGCACATCCAGAAACATCAACAGAAGTTTCTTTTTCTGAGACTTCTCCATCTTCTTTCCTTTCCACAAAGAAAAGTATTGGAAGGTTTCACCCATATACAAGATATGAAGATGTCACCTTCAATTGTTGCAATCACTGTCAAGGAGAGCTGATAGCCCTTTAAAAGCCCAGCCAAGGCAGCTGCACATGCACTCTTTCTAAAGAACACTAGTTGATGCTCAGCAGGCTTTCCTTTGTCCTTTTTCTGTAATGGGTGGGTCTGGCATTGGAAATTACACAGTTTCAGCTCCTCTATCTCTTGAAGTTAGGGATTGACAGGATTTCCATAGTCTCTGGGATACTTCTACTATTTCTCAATGGGGAAAGCTACTTATTTTCTTAAACATAGTCACAACAAAAAACATTATGCTGGTCCAATTTACAGAGCATAGAGATGCTCTTGACTGTTTAACATTTATAATTTGGTCAGCAAATCTTAATGAATTTCCCTTTAGAGGGAGTCAGAAGTGTAACTGTACCAAAGCAAATTAAGTGCTGATCAGTTATGTCTAAATTTAAAAATAATGATAAATGGTCAGTTAATTTTTTTTTTTTCATTTTAGCCAAGGTGATGAACTGTCCCCAAGTCTATGTTCTACCTTTTAAATTTAGTTATAAAAAGGAGTATATGCAATCATTCTTCATAGCTGTAAGTTCTGAAAGCAAGAGTATATGCAGTGTCAGCCCACCTGTCAAGAAGGCGATGAAGCTTGAATGAACTTTAGCTATAATACATAAGTAGTAACTGCTTTCAATTGGATTCTAGAAAACGCTGGGGTGAGATTATTCTTGCATTTCTATAGAGCTGAAATGGCTTTTCCATTGTTTCAGCTTCTAGAATGAAGCTGCTGCCTAGCTGATCCTCAGCAAAGGCAGACTGACATGCTTCCTTTAGTACATAGCATTGAACCTGCTCTGGCATTAGGGCTCAGTCCTTGCCCAAGGTCTTCCTAGGTATTATGGGAAGATGAAGATAAGCACTAAGTTTGCACAGGTACTGTTAAAAAAAAAAGTATTTTTTTACTTGTATGGTTTTATAATCTTGATATAGATTTGGAGTTCTTGACATAGGTTTGATGAGAACTTTTAGGAGCCAATCTGCTAAATCCAAAGAACCCTATTTAAGTTTCTTTGCTTGACCCCCAAAATTTACCATATGAAGCTGCCTACTTTAGGGAAAAGGTTTCTGAAATGGTTGCTTTTACCCAGTTTTCCTTTGAATCTCATACCCATGATCAGAATATGTAAGCTGTAAGTTCTTGCTGTTGCTGGCTCAGCTTTGGTTTACATGAAGAAAGCTACAATAAACTTCCTTTGCTTGCTTTCAAGTTACAGTTTTGGATTTAATGAAGTCACATTCTCTGTAGCATTAACAGAACTATATGACATTGAACAGTAAAACCCTTCACTCTGCTGGTGTGAGGCAATGAACAGAGAAGCACTTCTGTAGTTTTCTACAGTTAGGGAGATGGTGTGTGTGAACCTTTGCAAACATTCCCCCTGGATTTGCTTGCTAGACACAGGAAGCTCTTCTTGCCTTTGGTGTCAGGGGGAGGTTTTGGAGGGAGGAAGGCAACCTGTTACTTATGTGTCCCAGTAGCATGTGAAATTTTCATTTTGTGTCCATGCTCACTCTCTATGCTGGCAAAAGCTGCAACAGACCAGCCTCCAGTCCAACACCAGTGCTCTCAATATGCCTGTAACTAGCTCCAAAAATAACCAAGGAAAATACTACCAGCAAACATGCTTTGCATCTCTACACTTCTGTCTGTTGCAGTACTCCCAGAAAACAGTGACTGGAAAAATTGAAGAGCAATTCCAGGATCATGAAATCTGTTGGGACATACAGTTGGACAGAATGCTTCTATTCTTTCACTAACTTTATGATTTCATGAGTGACTTTGGCATGTTCTCTATCAAGAGTTCACAATTTAGGTGGGTAAGGTGATGTAGTTTGGTAGATTTATTATAATAAGCATTGACATTTATATAAGGAACCTGGCTTCCTTAGTAGCGGGAAAGGTCATCATTTGCACAAGCTTTTAATTCCATGAAATAGAAAACTACTCAATATGACTCACAGAAATAAGTTTCAAAACTTGTTGCACAATCACCTATACATTAGTCTTCAATGACCCTTTCCAGGAACCTAAAAGAACACAGTCTTCTGGTCTAGAGCTGGTCAACAGATCAGTAGGTATAATAAACATCATTTTCCAACAACATAGCACCTTGCACAGTCTTAATCACTAGCAGCATCAAACAGCAATATTAATCCACAAAAAATTCAACATTTTACAGAGTAGCCTGCATCCAGGAATCCATGATGGAGCTGAGTATAAAGTGCCTCTAAGAAGCGAATGTGTATTTGTCACCCTCATACATACATCTTGCACTCACTTAGGTTTGGTTAAATCGAGAAGATCCCTGAGTTATAGATTAAAGCAGGCTTTTCAACTAAATTACAAATAAATAGATAGTAAAATCATTGTCACTGAAGGTAATTGTTAAACTTGATTGTAAGCTTCAAAAACACCACAAAAAGTCAGTAGCTGGAAAGGACAAAAACAAGCCATAAAAATTCAGAAGATTGTCACCAAGAACTCTGTGTCTACATCAAATTTTTAACTGTAATGATCTGTGAAGCAAAAGAATTTTGCCTCTGAATTAAATATAGTGCATACTCCGCATCTGTCTTGCTCTTCTGGCTTCTAATTTAAACAGCCTGCCTCTCTCTTTAGCAGCGAGTTCTGCTTCTTGTTTCTCTTCTTTCTTCCTCCTCAGCCAGCTGTGGAGAGACAAAGAGGATCAGAAGTACTGGCAGTTGTAATTTCAAGTTTGACATCATTCAAAGGAGTTTTGGCCCCCACTCACTGGAGCCCACATGTCTTATAGGGTGAAGTTGGGTGTCATGGCTGAGACAGTCTAAAAGCTTGCCACACCCAAACACAGGAAGCACTACTTTCCCACTCCAATTCCCCTGCTTCTGCACCCACCTTTACCTCCCCTATTTTGTTAGACTGGTTTAACTTTATGCTTATTTCATGGAGTGAATAAACCCAAGCTTGCTCCAGAACACGAAACAAATGTTTGAGGAGAAGATCCCTTTCTTAGCAAAAGCAATTCACTCCTTTTAGCTCAGGTTCTGACAAATAATTTCACAGCAGTGAACGAACAACATCAAGGCATCGATGGATTTTTGCTGAGGTGTAAGTTTAAAAGGGCATATTCAAGAAAAAAAAACCCTCCAAAACAATGAGGACTTCAGCAGCAAAGATGTGCCATAAGATAGCTACAGTTTTGAGATGATACACTACAAAAGTTGCAAATGTGGTCCCTTAGGAATGACCCTACTCACTCTCTAAACGCTCTGTCGCATTCCTCTGCCCTTGGTACAAAGGCCACTTCCTCAGTTTGGCGTCTCAAAAATTCTATCCGTTTTTCTTTCATATATTGTTGGTGCTTTTTTTTAAGCCATAACCTGTAGGCTTCTTCTGGATCCCTGTTCACGTCCTAGTTAATAAAAGACATGTATATACAAGGGTTATCAGTAAATGACCTTTATAATAATCACATTATATTAGGTTTTTTTTGTATTCTGCTGGCATCTCCCATCCATAAAACATACTTTATAAACACAGTAGAGCATATGCTAATCTGGCATAGAATATATACATGAGCAAGCATTCAAAGCACCATGTTTTAAAAAGTACTTATTTAGCTTTTGAAGCCCATCACTTTAAGGCAGAACTTTAGAACAGCATCTGAATCCCCAGGTTTTTGTCAGGTCATGTGCATTAACTGCTTGCTAACAAGTTTTGATGGTAAAGAACACACTCCAAAGAGTTTTCTGGCTGCTTGTTCACTGCAGGGCTCAATCAAGTCCTTCTTCTGGTATATGGGAGCATCACTGTATCCCCTGTGATTTTATAGTTAAGTTCATGTATGCTGCTTCTAAATTGCAAGCCACTCTGCCAAGGAGATAAGTCCTAAACCTGCAAGTCTAGCTCTTCACTGAAAACAATGGAACAAGAACATTCCCCAGTGCTGTAAATTTTCATACACTTAGCTAAGAACCCAGGTTTAGAATTTGGTTTTCCTATTTAACAAGAGCACTATAGATCCCAGTTCCACAGTAGTGTGACCTTACTTTCATCCTCAGCTCTTCCAGCTGCTTTGCACGACGAACTCGCTTTTCTTCTTTTAGCTGTACTTTCTTCTTCTGTAACCAAGCTTTATAAACTATTTCGTTCTCTCTTCTCCTCATTTCTTCTAGTTCCCTTTTCCTGTCTTCTTCCTTAAGTGGAAGGAAAACCAAATAAACTTAGTTTTTAAGAGAATTATCTTAATTTGCAAAGACTGTTGCAGGCAAGAAATAAGCCATTTGAATTTCATGAGAGACACACTAAAATACAGATGAAACAGGAATACTCAAAGACTGCATCACAGCTGACACTGCATTTAGGAAGAAATTGCTTGGAGCACTTCTGTGGTTTGTGATATATTCAGACACTTTCAGTCTAATACTTCTTGTGATTACCTCCATTTCCATGACACCTCTTGACTCACAGACATTTAAATAGGATCAGGTGAAAATTCTTAAATTTAAGTTTGCCCAATATCCCTGGTTAGTTTAGAATCACTTTATATGGATACATTTTAAAAATAAAAGCAGCTCTCAGGCTTGATGGACCCCTAAACACTAAAGGATATTTAACAACATCTTTAGCAACATTTAACAATATGGATTGCACTACCTCATAATTAAGGACCTTTCTTTTTACTTGAAGTTACAATGTATTTACTTAAGGAGTATTAATAGCTTCAGGTTTTTTCAAGTGTACGAAATGAACTGATATTTACAAAAATGAGAAAGGTATCTCTTACTTATTAATTACATTGTAGCTAATTAGAAGTATTTACAAAGAGTAGTAAAAGTTTCAATTAATGCTTAAGAAAGCTGATATTTTTTACCAGGATTTACTCTCTCTTTTACAAAAACTACAATCCCTACTTACTTCAATACTTAGAGAAATCTAATCTACTTGCAAATAGGTGATGTTCCTCCCACCTACACACAACTTTCAGATATCCTCCTTTACCATTTCTAATTTACTGGAATGAAAGAAACTCCACCAAAATGAAGCAGATGGAGTCTAGTAATGTCAAGAAATGTTTCATGCCTGTGAAATCCATCACAGAATGGAAGAATTCCATTCCAGAATGAAGAAATAAGGTAACACATCCTTACCTTTCTATAACTAAGCAACAAAGGAAGAAATTTAGCACACACTGTTAGGAAAATAACCTTCCTTCCCCTCACTACCCTACCACACTTTAAATACATATATCATGGTTTCAAGAGACGTAGTCTTGTGTGCAAAAAGAAAACACTTCAATTGCTCATCAGATTTCATTCCCCTGATTACTAAGCTGAGCCTCAGCAACCTTTTCAAATAAAGCAGGCTAGAGCTCTTTCCACAAATAGAAAGTAACCTTGGGAGCTACTTAGCCAGCTTAATTATTACATCATGGCACAGAAAAATGGCAGATGCTTCATGCTCCTTTTATACAGCAACACACATAGCAAGCTACCTTTTTGTAACTGTATCATCATAATGCAAAAAGAAGAAAAATATCAACATTTTTTAACTCTCTGGTAAAGATTTCTGAAGTCCCCATTACAGCTGTTGGAGGCTCTCTATGAAATGTAAGGGGTTTTTTTTCTGTGTGAGGAGCTGAGAAAGAATTAAAAGGGTTCCTACAGTCACTCTGCTGTGTAAACATTATATTATGACTGAACACTCTTCCATATAATTGCCAAATCCATACTTCTTTAGTACCCAAATGTGCCCCAGCCTTACTATGGTTAACGCAAACTTCCTGCACTGCAATATAATATGTGCAGATGTGACACCACATGCTAAATTCCATAAACTATGGGACTGTAACAGAACCTAGGTAGAGAGAGTCAAGAAACAAAAGCAGTAAGAAAACTATAACAGAAGAAGGCCTATTTATGAAGGATATATTGAATAAATACTTCATTTCTCCTCTGAGCAAGGCATGATCCTATACCACTCTGGGAAAGGAACTTCGAGAGATTCTATACAAACCCCAGAGAATGATTGTTATTATTGTTGTTGATGCTATTATTACTACTACAACTATTATTGCTGCCTCTTTTATCAAGGAAGAATGGAGTAAATACCCCGAGCACATGGTCTTTGTGAAGCAGGGGAATAGGATGGTCACTGTGATTTACTTTTCTCTATACATTTACCTCTCTCCTCAGTATTTCATTCCTTATTTCTATCTGCTTCCTTAGTTCTTTTTGTTTGGGAGTAAGAGTGTAAGTGGAGGTTTTCATGGCTGTGTTTGCAGACTCAGTCTTCTGTTTTCCCAGGTCTTTTGCACCATTTGAAGCAGAATCTGGAGGTTGCTTAGAGTCAGATGGAGGTGAAGGGTCAGTGGGGAGCGAAGATTTTGGAGCTGTATGTTGAGTTTCAATATCTGAAAAAGAAACACTTATTGGGGGCAAAATGCCCTGGCTTTCAATATCACATAAACTTAAGAGTTCAAACTTTCCATCTTTTTCCACTAGGACTTTACCACCTGTCATTTCCTCATCTGAGCCAGTACCTTCTGAAAGTGTGTGTTTCTGTCCTGTGTCATCAGAAATATGCAGCTGAGACAGCCCAATTGAAACATCATCTCCTCTTGCAAGGTCAGCATCTTTTGGAGGAGGAGCTTTAATATCCATCTCATCCTTAAATTTTAATTTCCTTTCTCTGTTTTGATCCACAGGAGTCTGATTTTCCAGGTTTTTGTTGGCTTCTTCAATCTTTTCCAAGACATAACGCTTCATATCTTCATCCTCTTCCAGTTCCTGCTCATTTTCCAACTTACATTCCTGGATAAAGCTTTCTCTCTCATCAGATTCATGGCCCTTTTGTTCAGTACTTGCCTCAGGAAAATATTTTTCATTGGCATATATCATTTTCACATTTACATCTGCCTCTGAAAGCTGATCTAGACTTTCTTCCACTTCCTCATTGTCTTCCTGAGAGCTGTATGCAGCTTTATGAATTTGTGCTTCAACATCCTCTTCCTTTTTTCCAGGATTCTAAAAAAGTTAAAATAAACTAGTCTCATCTTTCAACAAAAGAATAGTTATCAAAGAAAGAGAAAAAAACTGAGAGAGAAGAGCAGTAAACTACCTGCACTCTAAATCAGGCTGTCAATTAGTGCATGTCATAACTAACTGCTTTTTTGGCACTAACAAGTCTCTTCATTTTCTTCATGTTCACATTCACACACAGTTTAACTAACCAGTGAAATGATTAGTGACAGCACAAAACCACAATGAGTGTTGCACAAACACTTAAAGGAACTCAGAAGTACTTTTGAAAAAATATATCATTTTTAATGAATGCTGAAATTTCAGCTTTACAGAGAGTATAACTAAACTAACCAGTTTGCTGAAATGTTTTTCACTGTAATTCCAAATAATCTTCCTCGTCAAAATTCAGTGAATGCATCTGCACATTTCAAGCAATACTGAATTTGTGCCTAAGATTCCAAATATTACTCAGTTTTGTCTTCTAAATAACACAACTAGCATTTAATGTAACAAATACCTTTTTTTCACCAAGGTTCTGTTTCTCTTCTTCGTCAGTTAGGCATTCCAGGTCTTTTTCAAAATCATCCTCATATTCTGCATTTTCTGTTACATCACCCATATCTGCTCGATCTTCCTTTTCAGTTATTTTGGTGATGTGTTAGAATAATACTATAAAAAAGAGAGGGAATAAAATGTTTCCAAGTGACACACAAATACTGATATCTCTCATGACACTCACATCAAACTTGTGAGCAGTATTAATACAAGCATGTTAGACAGTGTCACAGCACCTCAGGACTAAGGATCACCAATGGCTCATAAACATGAATGGTTTTGGCCTTTCCAGCCCTGGCTACTGGGAGAAGGTTTGAGTTAAAGCAAATCAAGGTGATTTAATGTCTCTGACAGATCTTAAACTAGAACTCATGATCTTTTAACAGTTAGCCTTGTGCTTGGACAAAGAGACCACTATTTTGTGTTAGCTTGAAGTGCGACAAACTTCCTGCTTGTATCTTACCTTGTTTGTATCTTACCTTGTTTAAATGCACTGTAACTTTAAACGCTCATTAACCTGTTAATCAGGCTGGATATCATGCTCATGATAAAACTGAAGATGACCCACTATAAGGGCTGAATCTTTTAAAAAATGTTTGCACTGCATAGCACACAGGTGCCACCAGCTCCTGAAGGTTTGCTTAAATGCCAGTGCTTGGTGCTCCAGGCTGACTGTCTGCTGTCCCTCTGCTCAGCTCACTCAGTACAAGGCATCAAAGATGCAAAAGTTTAAAGATGTGGACACACTCACGAGCCTAGAGAGCTGATTCTGCTGTTTATAGCTTTAGCCCCTCTTCAGTCCTTCAGTAATTTATTTCTTTTTACAAAAGCAGCACAGAAGAAGAAAACATAAAGTATTCAAAAGTTCCTGTTCTTTTTGTACCACCTGCTGTAGGCTGGAAGGTGCCACTTCCATGCGTCTGTTGGAGGGTTAATCTGTGTCATTTTCAATAGACTAAAGATCATGATTGTTGTGGCAGGACAAGGAGGAATGGGGACAAATTGAAAGAGGGGAAATTTAGGTATATTAGGATGAAATTCTTTGCTATTTTGGTGGTAAGGCACTGGAACAGGTTTCCCAGGGAGATTGCAGATGCCCCATTTCTGAAAGTCTTCAAGACCAGGTTGGATGGTGCTTTGAGCAACCTGTTCTAGTGGAAGGTGTCTCTGCCCATGGCAGGGAGGTCACAATTTGATGCTCTTTAAGGTCCATTCCAACCCCTTAACATTTTATGATACGGCAAGACAATATGGGATGTAAGAGAGAGCTCTGACTCTGGATGGCCCTAGAACAGCAAGACAGCTCTTGCTGTGTGACCATCCTGCCCTTCCAGACAAGAATCACAGCATCAAGAAGGGTTGTCTTTCAAATCCGTCTACACATTTTGTAAAAACCCTTTCATGCAGCAGATGTTGCTTAAATTCTCCCAAGCTTTTGTTTTGAGTCCTGATGAACATCTCTGAATTCTCAGTTATTTGTTCTCAGGAACACCAGCTCTGCTTCTTAGAACTCAGTATTTCATGCTGGAAAAGAGTGATGTTTTTTAAGCCTCAAAACTTAGGCAAGATTTGTCTTAGAGTGGTAATAAAGCTGGGCATTTTTTGCTGCAAAATTGTTTGTACAGAAACTTTTAAAAGCTCTTCATTTTCTTTGAAAAGAAAATTTTCATTTTCAAGAAAGTCTGGCAGATTTTTCACTTCTTCTTAGCTACCACTTGCCACCAGAATCACTCTCACACCAGATTTCTCAGAATTTGAATTTTTAGAGCTTGTTTAGACTATTGTCTTGGCTTTCCACACCATATCTATTTCCCTAGTGTTTTTCCTGCACCACCTCATATGACATGTAATGATTTTTGCTGGGAAATGTCCCTTCCTTCACAAATATCCTTGGTTTGGGTGATGATGTACCCAGCATCTTAATGGAGATTACTTTTCTCTAGTGCATATTCAGCACAAACGAACCATTTCATTATGTGATTTCATTATTATGGTAAGGAGATACAAAAGCTGCACAGAGGAATTGTGCTTTTAGAAAAAACATGTTAACATCTGTGGCACCCAGTAAAAACACATCTAACACACTCTTTCATTCATTTAGGTTAAGTGTAATAATGGAGACCAGCATAAAAAACAACTTCTTCTGTTGTAAGATAAAGTAGCCATGGCTAAAGAGAGAATTTACAATTCAACGACTTGTTTCATAGAATCATAGAATGTTAAGGGGTTGGAAAGGACCTTAACATCATCTAGTCCCAACTCCCCCTGCCATGGGCAGGAACACCTCCTGCTAGCCCAGGTAGCTCAAAGCCCCATCCGGCCTGACCTTGAACACTTTCAAAGATTGGGGCATCCATCATCTCCCCGGGCAATCTGTTCCAGTGTCTCATCACCTTCACAGTAAAGAATTTCTTCCTTATATCTAACCTAAGCTCCCCCTCTTCCAGTGCGTACGCATTTCCCCTTGTCCTGTCACTGCAGTTCCTGACAGGGAATCCCTCTCCGGCTTCCCTATGGGCCCCTTCAGATCCTGGAAGGTTGTAATGAGGTTTCCACACACCCTCCTGTTCTCCAGGCTGAACAGCCCCAACCTTCTCAGCCTGTCTCCATAGGGGAGGTGCTTTACCAACCTCGTGGCCCCCTCTGCACTTGCTCCAACAGTTCCATGCCCTTCTTATATCGAGGGCACCAGAAAATCCTGAATCAGCCCTTATTCTATTTTGAATATTATGAAGTAAAGTGATTCAGCATTAAGAGGGACAGAAAGTATTCAGAAAATCTCACATCTTCATTTTCACCTGCTCCTGTTCTACTTGGGGTGTGTCTGTGGGGGGTGCGCGCTGTCACCATTTGTTCTGCACGGATTAGTAACGCGGTTACACCCGGGCACAGTGACAACAAAAGGCGGCTTTCTGTCGCTTCGTCCTTCTGCACTAAAACACGCACGCATACACAGACCCACGAACCCGAACCCCATGCGGGGCGGTGGGGAACATCCTCACCAGAATTCCCTGCTCCCCTGGGACACGCCGGGCCCCGCCGCTCCCTGCCGGCGACGAGGAGGTGCCGCCGCCGGGCGTCGCGGTTGCCGTGACAGCCGTGAGGCCGCCCCGTCCGCCAGCGCCGGTCAGTGACACGGTGGTTCCCGAGGGACAAACACCGCCTCCCGAGGGACAAACACCGCCTCCCGAGGGATAAACACCGCCTCCCGAGGGACAAACACCGCCTCCCGAGGGACAAACACCGCTTCTCGAGGGACAAACGCCGCCTCTCGCAGGGCCCTGGCTCCCGTGGGCCGCACCGCCCCGTTGCCATGGAGACGGGCCTCCGCGCCAGGGCCCCCCTCCCTGCCCCTTTTCCGTGTGGCACAATTCCATCTAACGCCTGGAAACTGTCGGGAAGCAGAGCGCTGAGGGCAGCGGGGGCACACACACCCCACCAGGAGAGCGGCAACCCGCTCTCCCTGTCCAGCCGAAAGCCCTTCTTTGATGCTCTTAAATTATGTACTCCATCCTCAGCGGGCAGCCCCGTTTCGCGTGTTGTATTATTCATCATGATCCGGCTGGTAATGAGCGATCGGATCAGCCCAAGAGCCAGCAGTATCAGGATTTGGGCTTTTGTTAATCACAAAATCATAGAATTGTTTGGGCTGGAAAAGGATCTTGAAACTCTTAACCCCCTTGCCATGGGCAGGGACACCTTCCAGTAGACCAGGCTGCTCAGAGCCCCATCCAGCCTGGCCTTGAACACCTCCAGGGATGGGGCATCCACAATTTCTCTGGACAACCTGTTCCAGTGTCTCACCACTAAAGAAGACAGCACTGAATCTCCAGAGACACACCTCTCTGTGTTAACCACACACTGCTCCTTGAACATGGAAATGAGAAAAACAAACAAACAAACAAACCAGGAAAATGCCCTGAATTAATTCCCATCTGGAAAAAAAAAAAACCAACAGACAAAAACAAAAAAACCAGGCCAAAAAACCCCACCCTGATTTACCTGTGGGGCCAAGGGGGCTGTCAGAAAGAGAAGGATCAGACTCCTCAGTGGAACTGGAGGGAGGTGGCAGATTGCAGTCTCCTCTAGGGACAACCAAACCCCCCACAGGTAGTGGATGCTGTGCCCCTAAGGCCAGCAGGTCCCCCAAGAGCTGTGTGACCACCAGACTCCCCACTGAGCACACACAGAGCTCATTGCAAGGGCAAACAGCTGCCAGCAGCCATTCAGAGTGATTAAGTTCACTCAGAATCACAAGACACTTCTCAGCATGGCATTTTGGGGGATGACCCTCCTCAGCCCTTCTACCAGCTTGGGCTGCAGTAGCAGGGACCCCTCTGGGGGAAAAGAGGGAGAGAGCAAGGGAGGGAGTTCTCCTCAGTGGCAGCATGGTGCCCATCACACTGTCCCTCACACGGCCATGGCCCCAAGTTTTGAATACACTGGCCTGGCAAAGTGAAAGATGACATCTACAAGGCCACACACCTCAGAGGGAAGCACTCCCCCTGTGCTAAAGGGTTAATGCTAATGAAAGAAAATACAGGCATAAGACAGCCATGAAGCCAGAGCTTTGATAACTCTCAGAGTAACTCAAGTAGGGTCAGCCTTTCACTCAAAGTCACATGGGACAGAAAAGCTGAACCCCTTCAAGGTGGGGCTCATGAGTTCTCTAAAGACATCTGTCATCATAGGCCACATGCTATAGGAGGAGAATGGACTCCATGACCTCAGGGTTTCTGCTCATCCTACACCATACAGTGAAAAAGAAAACCAGGTTTTGACATTGGCTCTAGTGGGCTGTAAGGGCTCCCTTACACTTAGCAGAGATAATGTTCAGTTACCTGCTTGGCAATGGTTCCTGCTGTACCTGGTGAAAATTCAACCAGTGACCTCGCCCAGTGAATGCAGTTATCCCACCCTTCCGGGCAATATGCTGAATTTCTGATTTTCCACATTTCGACAAATTCATAGCAGACTAAAATACAGGGAACTGGATACAATACCAAGGCTTTCTTCTCTGCTCTTATTGTAAGACTATCCTTCATCTTAAAAGCCAGCACTATCCTTTTCATTAGCAAGAGATACTTTATGTAACTAATCACAAATCAGGGTGATTAAGACAAGGGTTAGACCCCATTGTTGGAATGTCAAGCTGTAATGTGTGGTAATAAGAACTTAATGATAACTTAATGATTTAAGGTCAATCAAAATTCATCTATGCATCCATTAACCCACATGTCATTAAATGTAGGTTTTCAGATGTTCCCATACGTGAGGAAGCTGCAGAGCATGGTTATGAAAAAGGCAATGAAACCAACAGTAAAAGAGTGCAGATCTCCAAGGACAAACCCCGACATGTTGGCTGCTGTTTTCCGTGTCACTAATGCATCAGACACTGTGTTCAGGGAACAGATTCACGTACAGTGTGTTTCACAGACAAAGGCTGCATAACACCTCCAGTGCAATATTAAACAAGCACCTTAACACCTTTTTTATGTAGTGTAGGAAACAGTTTACACTGTCAAAAGCCACTGGGAACAGGGTTCAGAGCATCCAGTCTCCTGCCCCTCCATAGCCAAAGTCCCTCTTTCCTTCCCAGTACTTGGCTATGATCACAATGATAGAGAAGAAAACACAACCGCTTCCACACAGAGCCCTTCCCTTTCCCTGAGAGCGCTGCCAGAGCAGCCGGCTCTGTCACACACACACACAGCCTCAGCTGGGGTTGAGTGTAACCCTGTAATCCTGCCTTGCCCTGGCGGCCTCTCACAGCCCCTGCTAGCCCAGGGGGACCGCAGTGGGTGCTGCTCCTGAAACAGCAGCCTCTGGCAGCTCTGCCTATTCCTTGCTTTTTGGACAGAACAAGCCCAGCACCCTGTCTCTCACTGTAGCAGTGATCCCAGGAACTACACCTCATCCTCCCAGCATCACAGCAAGCCCAGCGCAGGACAGAGATTCATTTGTAACACTCACCTGCAGGAGTCCCCAGCATCAACTGGAACAAAGAAACAGTCACAGCACCCCAGGCAGACAGGCGTGTGTAGCGTTTATCTCATCTCCGCCAAACCGCACTGCGTGCTCGATCTCCAACGCAGAAATTCCGCTCCTGCACAGCAGCTCTGTGCCCCTTTCAGCTCTCTCAGATGTACACGATGTGGCAGGATGCGATGGGAGGAGCAAGGATTGCCACAGTTCACGTGGACTCGCTTCACTTGCAGGAGAGAGCAGCCTTTCACCAGAACCAGAGGAGAATCACTTGAACCCACCCAAGGGAAATGCTATACCTGTATGACCTACTAATATTCCTGACATACACAAGCAGAGATTTTAATCCCCCACACTGTCAAGAAACTCATCCCTCCACAGATGACTCTGTATTCACCCAGGGAAGGCAGATGAATGAAATTCAGAACCTGCCAAGAGTCCTGTCCTTCAGCAATAAAACTCAGCAACAAAGCTCTGAAGGAAGCATGTGTAAGAAAACCTCCCTTCCTCCTTTCCTCCCCAGAACACTCCTTTTTTCTTGTTTTTGGTGGTGGGCTACTACCCGACATAAACCACTGTACCCTCCAGCCTAGCCTGTATTATGAGGTACAAGCCATGTCTTCTAGAAACACAGCACAGGAGAGCCTCATAAGGCAGGAAGTGCCAGGATGGGGAGCTTACAGCATTTTTCCTTTAAGGCCTCCATTTTGTAATTAGGTCAATGTAAGTAGAAAGGTCCTGCATGGCAAACCTACACCTGCTTTCCCTGACTGTAACCCCCAGCTAGACCAGAGCATCCAGGGCTACCCTGCACCCGTGATGATCTCCCTCACCAGATCAGTCTACACTGCAATTAGAGTGGTGCTTCTGGACTGCTCAGCACTTAAGAATCCCCAATACAAGACACTTGCACAGTTATGCAAACTCACAAAAGCCAGCCAGCAACTATCAGCTTCTTGAAGTCTTGCTTCTTTTTGTATGTTTTGTTCTAAATTGTTTTTCTCTTTGTTACAAAGATGCTCAGAACAACCTACAGCAGCAATACTGTGGATTAGCAGGATATCAAAATAGAAAAAAAGCACTGACCACACAGGATATCTCAGAGTATTTTTATTTAACAAAAATAGCTGTTTAATTAGAAACCAACAATGTCCACACGGTTACAGATTTTCATAAGAATCATTGTTAACTCTGCATACAGCTCCAATCAGGCTCTATAGTCACCTCATCACCACAGCAACAGCACAGCTCAGAACCTGAACAACATCCAGGTGTGGCTTCCATACATTGTGGGCCTGAAGACATACCCAACGTAGCAAGCTTTTCTATTGCTACAGTTTCATTACTTTGGTACAAAAATCACTGATATTGCTCTAAGTCATTAGTTAATTTGTGACTTGCATTTAAAATAACAGGGCTCTTCCCCATCAAAGATTTGATATCTGTACTTAAAGTATGATTAAAACTGAGCTGCTGCTTTTGGTCACTTGACAGGAGTGCTGTACACCCACTCTCCCTGCCTTGCTCCAACTGCCATCAGACCAAGGAACTCAAAAGGACAGACTATCCTTGTCCCAGGATAGCTCATCAGCTAGTATTTCATGGCTTCAGATATTATTTTTTAAAAAAAAAAAACAAAAAAAACTATAGAGAACAGAATATATACATGTGTGGCTTCAAGTTTCCATTTCAGGATAAGGCAGTTAAGGCTACATGTGTAAATGCCAGTGCAGCTGAGCCCCTCTTTAGGGGGCTGATTCAGGAGGCAGCCTGCAGAAAGAAAAGCTTTGGCAAGTGGGCTCCCCTGAGCAGCCGGCCTGGAAGGGCTCCCTGGATCCCAGGATCCCATGCCAAACACATTAATCATGCACCTTGTGTGGTAAAGGCTGAGGCTCACAGAAAGTGATGAGAAATGTCCCAGCCAGGGGAAAAACACCTTCCCAGCCCCTATACTGTGAAGTCTCCATGGCACTAAAAGCAGGTGATGAACCAAAGCTGCTTCTTCAGCTGAAAGAAGAAAGAAGCTCTAACGAACACAAAGAGAGAAGGCACAGAGGGAAAGGCTGCATTGCACCTTCTCTTTTTCCAGCTCCCCTGTACACTCAAACTCACCACAACCTGCACAGCAACAGTCACACTCCATAGGCATTTGCTGCTGTGCTGGTCATGCTGCCTGAGTATCCAGGTACCCAAGCCCAGGACAAGTCTGTGCAACTCCCTCTTAGTGTTGAAGCAATTTGGAAAAGATAAATTATTTTAAAAATCAGGTATGAGGCAAGTCCCAAATTGCTTAAACTGGGCAAAACAAAAGAATTGCCCACTCTAAACATTCATTGTTCTGCTTATGTGGAAAGAAGAGGTAGAACTAGTGGACAGAGATCCATCAGAAGCATAAAGGCATTTTAAAATATCGGTGGAAAAACGACAGACCATAAATCATCATTTTCCAAAGCCTCAGGCAGTCATTCTGCTAACTACCATAATTGAAAGTGTCAATTTAATCACCACAGTCACAATTCTCTAAGGGCACAAAGAATACCTTAAAATCCTGTGAGTTACCTTCCTTCTCA